GCTGACGGCGCTCCCGTCTGCCCGGCCAGCGCTCCGCACAGAGGTAGGTGCAGGGGACCCGGCCCGCTTTGTCCAAGCCGGCGGAGCGGCGCGCTTTGTGCAGCCGCGTGCGGGCTGCAGGGTCCGGGTCGAGGTCCCGGCCAGCCCTGCAGAGGCGGGAAGGAAGCTTGCGGCACTTAGTCTCTCCTACTAGGTCCTGGGGACGGGATGGAGAGAGTCATGTGCCAACCACCTTGGCAACGTGTGAGGGCGGTGGGGGTCGAGGCTTAGGGGACGTGGGCCTTTCTGGAACCCAGAGAAGAGTCTGGGAAGAGTTGGGGTGTTCATATGCGTTCATGGGTCGAGATCGGGTGGGCTCGGAGCATGTCTGACAGCCCCCGCTGTCCACTCGCTTAGGCTACGCGGGAGGACTGGCCGGCGCCAATCCAGGTGCTAGGGACTGTCTCTGCCCGGTGTCGGCGAGTGCCTGGCTTCTCCGCCTCGGGAGCGTGCTGGGAGCTCTCCGGGGCCGCGTGGGCTTCTCGCCGCTTTGGTAGCTAAGCTTCATACTCTCCTTTATGCTCTTTCTCGCTGTGTGGGAGAGGGAGCCACGGTTGGCTGTGGTCGCCTTCACACTGGCAGAGGGAAAATGAAAACCCTCTGACAGTGAGGAACTGGTTGTGTAAGGTGTTTCTTTGGCCGGAACATTTTCAGGCCAGGGAGTCTGTCCCGGACTGAACTACCTGGCAAGGCCTCCTCACTGGAGTGGTCCAAGTCTGGCACCACTGTCCATTCATATTTGCATCCACTCTGGCTCAGAACAACTTTACCCCATTAATAACCCTACTACATTGCACACTTGTCTGGGATGCCGGCTTGCCCCTGTCCTAACCTGCTGCATGCTGTCTCCTCCTGGTTGTTTCTCTGTTGCCCTTTCTGGCTGGGGAGCAAAGCTAGGGAGCTGACAGGTTTCAGGCATGGGCAGGGTATCCACAAACCAGTTTTCCTTGAAGATGAAGAGTGAGTTCCAAATATGTGTCTTAGCTTGAGGTGCCAGGCAACCTCTTGGCATATTCAGAAGAGCAAAGGATTAGGGGATGAGACACTAAAATGGAGCCTACACTTGCCTCCCAGAGAAAGTGATGTAACCCCATGTTTCGGGAGGGGAGGTTGCAAGGGAGTGAAAATTGGTCTGAATAATTTTGCCCTAAATGGAGGATTCTAAAGGAGAGAGTTAAAAATCCTGTCCCCCTCGTCAGCCAATTTCCTAAATTCCTTGGTGAGGAGTTCTTATGCTCTAGCAGAAGCATAGCCTGGAAAATGGGTTGGGGTTTTGTTATTCCTGCCTTTTTGTTCTGTGTTCTGGGTAGATCTCTTTTTGCCTTCCTCATAGCCCTGAATTTATTTGGATTTTTCTCCCTTACATCTCTCTGCCGGTCTATCCATTTATACTTCAGTCAAATAAGATTCTTACTTTGCCAAAGTCCTCATTTCTTCTAATCTATTATTCATCTCACTGTCATTTATTCAACTCTGCCTTCCCAAAGCTTCTCTTGCCCTGTCATCCTCCTTTTGCACATCTGTGATTCTCTGTGTCTGGGCATTAACTCTGTTTGTTTCATTAATTCTGAAGCCCATTCCTTCTGCATTTTCCTCCTTCCTCACCTGAGGCTCCTAAGAGGAAGTTATATTTTACTTTAGCATGGGATAGGGCCTGAAAAGACCTAGAAGCTAACCCAGAACACATCTTTGAATGTTGTGTCTTCTCAGTCCTAATAGATCTCTAACCAATTCCAACTGCTTCTTATCTTTGGACATTGTCATCCCTCAAAATGTGGTCCCTTGACCAGTCCCTTTAACATCACCTGGGAATGGGTTAGAAATGCATTCTCAGGCCCTATCTGAAATCTACTGAATCAGTAACTGTGAGGGCAGGGTCCAGTGATCATCTGTATTTTAACAGCCCATCAGGTAACTATGATTCTTCCAAGTGTGAGAATCCCTGGTCTTGAGCTATAGAGTTGAACCCTGAAAGTAAAAGGGGGGCATTCAAAAAGTTCAAGAAAAATGCATATTATGAAATAACTATGCATGGATCTCAGGGTTTTCTTTTCCCCAAAATAAACTCATACTTTAATTCCATTTTTTTCACAAACTTTTTGAAGTCTTATAATACTCCAGGTAAGGAGCAGAAGGTCTTCCCTATCTCATTTTCATTCTTTCCTTGAGTTTTTCTCTAGTCCTAAGAAAGACAATCTGATGGCCAAAAAATGAATTATGGTCAACTCATTTAGTATCTCTTTATTAAATGCCTATTGTATTGGACCAGGAAAACACAAAAAGAAGAGTTAAGAGACAGCCCTTGCCCTCAAGGAGTTAAAAACAGAGTGGGTAGAAACACACAAACAACGAACTATACTACAACGTGATAACTGCAATGATAGTTGCATGCTGAAGTGCTGTGCGAGCGCAGAGGAGGGAATGAGCAACTCTCTCTGAGGGAGGTAAAGAATTAATCAGGCACAGGATGTGGTGAGAGGAGAAATTAGGGTACAAGACAGCCTTTAGCCTGGGGGATAGAGTTTCTAGCTTTACATGTGAGGATTGGAGTGGACATCCAGCAGTGCTTGGGTGTAGATTCTGGCAGGACCCCAAGCCTGCAGCTAGCGGGAGTTGGCATTGTTCTGGCACTAACAATGTAAGCTACTTGGGCTGCCCTCGAGGTCAGTGGCTAAGAATAAGGGACTAGTGAAACTGTAATCTGGATTAACTGCTGCACCACTCTATTGCCAGAATTCAGGAATCCATGGAAGAGAACATAGTTTAGGGTTCTCCATCATTGAGAGAGATGGGGGTCATGAGGTTGGGGGACTGCTAGCAGACTAAGGACATTTGAACATGGAGACTCGGGTCATATGTAAGGAGTGATCTGCTCATTGAAAAGAAACCAAAGTTTCTCCTTGTATAAGAGAAACTCAAATAGAAAACAGTACAGATCTGGAGATGACAGCAGGCAGCATGGACAGAAAGCACAGCATATTGTTCAAAAAGAAAGCCAGAATGTTTGGAAACCAAGACTTAAAGACAGAAATAGGGCCTCTGAGCCACAGTGCTGAACAATGCCAGAGAGCACCATTCACATGAAAATCTATGGGAATAGACCTCCTGGAGTCACTATGGGGATCTGCGATCTAAGGACACACGTGGCATCTTAGTTCTTTATCTATTAATATGTCATGGCATTCC